TTAGATGAGAAATTGAGGGGCCATTTCATGTAATGGGGAACACTTCAGAAAAGGAAGCTAATGAGTGCACAATTTGAAGAATGTAATTAGTGTCACTGAATTGTAAATGCAGACATTGTTGAATTGGTGTGTGCTTTGTGTATATTCTTAACAGGAAAATAAGTTTCTAAAAAAGTAATCAGAAGCATCAGACTGAAGATAAGAACATTTTAGGGATATGTTATCTTTTATCCATACTGCCCTTTTATCTACTTCTAAGGCCGTGGTTCTCAACCTTCCTAATGCCGTGACCCTATAATACACTTCCTCATGTTGTGGTGACCCCCCCAACCATAAAATTATTTTCATTGCTACTTCATAACTGCAATTTTTCTACTGTTATCAGGAGACCCCTGTGAAAGGGTCATTTGACGCCCCAAAGTGGTCATGACCCACAAGTTGAGAACCGCTGCATTAAGGAGTTTGGGAGGCGGGGGCTCCTGTGGAGGAAGCCTTCATGGTCATGGGTTGAAGATGCGTCCCACTCACATTCTCCTAAGTAAAAGTTGTTCCCCGAGACGTCCTCCATGGTAATCCCCAATTTAAGATGGGACTTGGCAAGCACAAGGCTGCTACTATATATGCTTAAAGGATAGGCTGCATGAAGGTTATCTACCAACAACAGCAAACAGACCCTATTGTCTGTCCCACCCTAAGTAGGGCCCACCCCCTTCTGATAAGGATCAGATTGTTCCCCTGAAGAGCTCAAGGTTGGCTGGCCGTCTTGATTCTAGAGCAGTGGTTCTCAATCTTCCTAATGCTGCAACCCTTTAACACAGTTCCTCATGTTGTGGTGACCCCCAATCATAAAATTATTTCTGTTGCTACTTAACTGTAATTTTGCTACTGTTATGAAATGTCATGTAAATATCTGACACGCAGGATGTATTTTCATTGTTGCAAATTGAACATAAAGCAGCGATGAATCACAAAAACTATATGTAATTATATATTGTGAAATATTTGTTTCTAATTACAAATAAATGAAATTTTGTCTTGAAGCATGGTGTAGCATGGGCAGCAGTCTTCACACCGGGTATTCTTATCTGCATGTGGGCGGACCCTCCTGGAGACAATAGAGGAGTGGTGTCTTGGCTCCTAAGACCATCAGAAATGTGTTTTCCGATGGTCTTTCTAGAGCAGCAGTTTTCAACCTGTGGGTCATGACCCCTTGGGGGAGGGGGGTGGAGCGACCCTTTCATAGGGGTCACCCGATTCATAACAGTAGCAAAGTTATGAAGTAGCAATGAAAACAATTTTATGGTCGGGGGTGACCACAACATGAGGAACTGTATGAAAGGGTCGCGGCATGAGGAAGGTTGAGAACCACTGTTCTAGAACATCTTGTTATGTATTTGCCTTCCTGCCACATGTATGCCTCTTGTACAACCCCCTTCCTGTTAAATATGTGCTTACCGTGGCCTGCATGCCTGAGATTACATAAACTCGTGAGATTACATAGATTACAGTCTCTTTCTGCTTGGACCTGGCTCCTGAAGTCATGATTGAGGTGAGCCCTTGCATGCTTTATCTCGTCTGATGTCTCTATAATTTACTCAATCGCCTCTTGGACCCACTTGGTTGTGACGGGCTGGTCCCCCCCACAAGACCAAAATCTAGGCTGAATATATCTAAGATAGATCTTTTAATATGTAAAACAAAATTCTAAGTAAGAGTTAAAGTTGATGAATTTTTCATCTTTAGTGATATCTGAAAGGGCAGAGCATCCTACAATTAGCGGCAACAGATGTGAGGACTTTAGTATGTTTGCAATGAGGAGGGTGATGTGGGAGTTTGCTGGTGATACCCTTCCCGACACGATCACTGAAGAAAAGGTGAACATAAGCAAATGTGGTGAAGAAAGCTGATGAGGCCTGGCTACTAAAAGATATAGCGTCTGGGGTCTTAAAGGCTTGAAGATAAACAAGCAGCCAACTAGCTCAGAAGCAACAAAGCCCACATGGAAAAAGCACACACTCCCAAAGTCGATTTCATCTCAGTAATTTTGTAGTTTCCTTTGGACCAAATAATCGTTTATCTTTGTGGTAATAATTTTTTATAAGAATTAATAGCACACTAGTCCCAAGGAATTGAGGATTAATGATGTTCAAAATGTTCAACTTTTCCATGATGCTATTCTGCTCCATTCTGTCCACCACCACTCCTTCCTTGGTCATAGCCCGTATTGGTCTGGGCTTTTGTGAATTGCTGCAATGTCCCACAGAAACTCACCAGGCTTTTGAGGAATTGTCTCATGTCATGGTGGGTGCTGGTCAATCCAAACTCTGAATGTCTGGCTGGGGTCAGTCAAATGAAGTCCAGAGCCAGAAGCCCAAACGGGACACAAGTTACAGCAGGTCCTCTTGCTTCTACCATGGCTCACTCAGGAGTGGGAAGTCTGGCTTATCAGCTGAGGCAGTGAATGTGTGGAATTGTATGGTGGCACCATTAATTAATCGCCAAGGAAAACAAAGTGTGGCCTGTTTCCATCTATGGAAATCAGGTTCTAACCTGCCTTATTCCTGTTCATTAGTAGAGAATGCCCTGCCAAATGGGGCTACAGCCATAGGCATATCAAATTTCAGAATTCTATCACACAAGGAATTAGGGCTAGAAGGACCATATTAATTGGCTATAACTCAATCTTAATTAGTAAAGGTTTGCCTTCAGCATCGTGCTCTTTTAAGAACTATATATGGGATCAAATGGGTGACAGCAGCAGCAATGATTAGATGAGAAATTGAGGGGCCATTTCATGTAATGGGGAACACTTCAGAAAAGGAAGCTAATGAGTGCACAATTTGAAGAATGTAATTAGTGTCACTGAATTGTAAATGCAGACATTGTTGAATTGGTGTGTGCTTTGTGTATATTCTTAACAGGAAAATAAGTTTCTAAAAAAGTAATCAGAAGCATCAGACTGAAGATAAGAACATTTTAGGGATATGTTATCTTTTATCCATACTGCCCTTTTATCTACTTCTAAGGCCGTGGTTCTCAACCTTCCTAATGCCGTGACCCTATAATACACTTCCTCATGTTGTGGTGACCCCCCCAACCATAAAATTATTTTCATTGCTACTTCATAACTGCAATTTTTCTACTGTTATCAGGAGACCCCTGTGAAAGGGTCATTTGACGCCC